CTTGAGGGTAGGAAGGCTCTGCAGGAGGATCTGGATAGGCTGCACCGATGGGCTGAGGTCAACTGTATGAAGTTTAACAAGGCCAAGTGCCGGGTCCTGCACCTGGGGCGCGATAACCCCAAGAAGAGCTACAGGCTGGGAGAGGAATGGCTGGAGAGCTGCCAGGCAGAGAAGGACCTGGGAGTGATGGTGGACAGTCGGCTGAATATGAGCCAGCAGTGTGCTCAGGTGGCCATGAAGGCCAACGGCATCCTGGCTTGTATCAGAAACACTGTGACCAGCACGGCTAGGGAGGTGATCGTCCCCCTGTACTCGGCTCTGGTGAGGCCGCACCTCGAGTACTGTGTTCAGTTCTGGGCCCCTCGCTACAAGAAGGACATCGAGGTGCTTGAGCGGGTCCAGAGAAGGGCGACGAAGCTGGTGAGGGGCCTGGAGAGCAAGTCCTATGAGGAGCGGCTGAAGGAGCTGGGCTTGTTCAGCCTAGAGAAAAGGAGGCTCAGGGGTGACCTTATCACTCTGTATAAGTATATTAAAGGAGGCTGTAGCGAGGTGGGGGTTGGCCTGTTCTCCCATGTGCCTGGTGACAGGACGAGGGGGAATGGGCTAAAGTTGCGCCAGGGGAGTTTTAGGTTAGATGTTAGGAAGAACTTCTTTACTGAAAGGGTTGTTAGACATTGGAACAGGCTGCCCAGGGAGGTGGTGGAGTCACCATCCCTGGAAGTCTTCAAAAGACGTTTAGATGTAGAACTTAGGGATATGGTTTAGTGGGGACTGTTAGTGTTAGGTCAGAGGTTGGACTCGATGATCTTGAGGTCTCTTCCAACCTAGAGATTCTGTGATTCTGTGATTCTGTGATATTCATATTCTACCACATCAAGCCAGGTATTGCTACTTGTCTGTCTCAAACAGCGCTTTCTTCTGTGAACAGTTCATCTGAACTGAAAAACAGCAAAATACTGCACATATTTTTTAAAAATATTTGTTTGAGGTAGGTAGTAATATCAACATTGTTACTTGACATGTTCTATTGTTACCAGAAGCAAAATATAAATACCTTGGTTCATGCAGCATTTAAGAGAATCTCTTGCTGATCTCACACAACGTTTCACACTGTGGTGAAGTAATGGTGAGGTTACTTTACTGAATGATTTAGAACTGTCCACCTATAAACAGAGAAATAATAGGAAGATGCACTTGTTAACATACAAAAACTTATTTGAATGAAAAGCATCTCCAGCCTTCACAAACAATATTAAATTCACTCATTTTACCTTTTATTTTTTATTATTTTTTTTCCCCCTGAAAAGCACCAAAGTATTTACATGGCATAATGCAAACATATTTGTAAAATTGCCTCCTTGAAAAACACAGTTTGCTTGGCCTTCTCGGTTTAATTTCAAAACTAGAGACTTCCCAGCAGCTTCTCTCTTCCTCAGAGAAGCACATCCTTGGCTCACAGTTCTTGTCAACTTGCTTCCTACTCCTAAGTAAGGAACAGACTTATTTCCCTACTCCAAGCACTGATTATATCAACAGACAGCCCGTTTGCGCTAGACCAATAGCTCTGATAGCCAATTGCTACTCGCACTGCTTTAAATGCTAAAACGTAAATGCCCTCAAATGACTGGTAGTGTTCCCTAGTGCCAGTTACGGGCTAGAGCGTTCACGTGACCCCAACAAGTCTCACTGTCCACTTCTTTAGGATATTTGGCAGTATGATGGCAAAGAATGTGAAGAGAAAATGTATGTCAGTGAGATGAAGAGACTGTATCTGTTGCTAAATATTGTGTGATTGTTTCAGCGAGGACATGGAAAGTTGACATCACTGGACAATTCAGAGTGAGAACGGTACATAGCATATGTTGCACAAGAAGCAGCATAGAAGGAACCTGCACTTGCCAGCATAGATCAATAGGGAACCCCTGATTGAGCTAAGCATGAAAACTAGGTACACAGTGGGAGTGGTGATGGACCAATGGAGACAAAAAAATATAATTCTTTGAGCCTGTGAGGATGGCATCAGAAAGACAAAGCTCATCTGAAGTTAAAACTAGCAAGAGACGAGAAAGGCAACACAAGCAGATTCTGTAAGTACATTACTAACAAAATAAAAGCTAAGGTAAATATGAGCCTGCAGCTTCACAGGCAGAGAACCGTGATGAAGGACACAGAAAAGACTGAGGTACTCACTGAAAGTTCTGTCTCAGTTTTCACTGGGAAATCAGGCTTTTCATGCTTATGACCCCTTTAGCGGGGTCGTGGGGAGTGAATCTGGTACCCCCAGTTAAAGATCACTTAAGAATACCTGATACCAAGAAATACAGTGGGTCTTGAGGAAATGCATCTGAGGATGCTGAGGGAACTGGCTGATACCACTTGCATGGTGGTTCCCATTTTCCTTCAAAGGTCACAGCAACTTGGCAGCGCCCTGACAGGGAAAACGCAAACGTCACACACATCTTCAAGAAAGGCAAGGAGGATGATACAGGGAGTTACAGACCAGCCACCTAACCTTGGTCCATATCTCAGGAATTTTTCCCCCAAAGCTTGAGGTGCCCTTACAGAATCATTTGACCCCTCTGCTGACTTAAAAGGAAAGACACGCTGCAGGAGGGGCAGAGCTAAGTAAGACAGCCTGATCTGCACCCTGCATAACAACTAGTGCAACTAAGAAAATGTGACGTGTGCTAGTAGTAGGAGACTCTCTACTGAGAGGTAGAGAGGCACCCATCTGCCTACCTGAACTGCTCTTGAGAGAAGTCTGCTGCTTACCTTAGTCTGCAGGGGCTCATATCAGAGATATCACCAAGAGGTCTCATACAACCTAATGACTATTATCCGCTACTGCTGTTTTACGGGGGCGACGGTGTTGCAGCTAGGAGCTGTCTGAGGAATATCATGAGGTATTACAGAGCCCTGGGAGCAACAGTGAAGGACTCTGGAGCACAGGTAGTCATCACAGTCAAAAGGAAGAGGATTGAAAGGCCCAATCAAATCTGGCAAATCAACAGATGGTTACAGGACTGGTGTCACAGACAGGGGTTCGGCTACTTAAACCACGGGACTCACTTTGAGAAACCTAGACTGCTGGGAGCTGATGGGGTAAACCTGTCAGAGAAGGGGAAGAGTATCTTTAGCCATAGGCTTGCCAAGCTTCCGAAGAGGGCCTTAAACAAGAGTTGCCAGGTGACCTCAGTCCATCCCACTCCTCCCAGTTTGATGGCAGTGTCAGCGATAGATGCACAGAACCTGGAGAAGGGTCACAGGCCACCAGGAGAGCACATGAAAAGCAGCACAAAGGAATTCCAGCCACCCCACCAGTAAGTCAGCTTCATCAAGGGCTCAGCTTAAACATCTCTGTGCTAACACACATAGCATGGGGAATAAACAAGAGGAGTTGGAGATGTATGCAAGCCTGCAGGGCTGTGACCTAACTGCCATTACATGGTGAGATGGCTTCCATGGCTAGAGTGTTGGAATGGAAGGATACAGGCTCTTTAGAAGGAAAGGCAGGAGAGATGAGGAGGGGGTGTTGCCCTCTCTGTCAATGAGCCTCTGGAAAATATAGAACTCTCCCTGGGGATGTATGAGGAGCTGGCAGAGAGCTTATGGGTTGGGATTACAGGGAGGGCAGGGACAGGGGACATTATAGTGGGGTCTGCTACAAGCCATCTGATCAGGAAGACCAAGCAGATGAGGAAGACCAAGCAGATGAGGCCCTCTATAGACACACAGAAGCAGCCTCATGGTCACAAGCCCTGATCCGGGAGACTTCAACCACCCTGATATCTGTTGGAAGGACAGCACAGCAGGGCACAGGCAATCCAGGAGGTTCCTGGAACATACTGACGATGACATTCTTCTCCAAGTGATAGAGGAGCCAATGAAGAGAGGTGCTGTGCCAGATCGCATTTCCACCAACAAGGAAGGGCTGGTGGGGAATGTGAAACTTAAGGGCAGTCTTGGCTGCAGTGACCATGAAATAGTGGAGGCTAAGATCCATAGGGCAATGAAGAGGGCACATGGCAAATTCACTACCCTGGACTTCAGGAGAACAGACAGTGCCCTCTTCAGGGATCTGCTTGCTAGAGTACCATTAAATAAAGCCCTGCAGGGAAGAGGGTCCGAAGAAAACTGGTTAATATTGAAGGATCACCTGCTCCAAGCTCAGGAATGATGCATCCCAACAAAGAGGGCAAAAATGCCAGGAGGTGGGCATGGATGAACAAGAAGGAACACCTGCAGAGCTATCACCTACCTGGCATTACATGCTGAGATGGCTTTCATGACTGGAATGTTGGAACAGACAGATACAGGTTCTTTAGGAAGGAAAGGGAGAGGAGATGTGTCAGAGTTCATCTGAACTGAAAAACAGCAAAATCCTGCATATATTTCAAAAACATACTTCCCTATCAGACGACTGAATAGAAACACACAAATGATTATACTTTTATCCCTTGTCTCCTTCAGGCTGCTTATCACTTCCTGCCATTTTCTTTACGTTACACACTGCCAGTGGAGTTCTCACACACTTTCCTTTGTCTCCAGCTCCGCTTTCATCACTGTCCTCAAGACTTG